CCATTCCTCAGTTGATGGACAACTAGGTTGTTTCCATGTTTTGGCTATTGTAAATAGTGCTTTATTTTTAATAATGAGTTTCTCCCTCTAAAATATTAATTAGGCTCATGTACTCATGTTAATATTTTGTTGGGTTTGGCTCAGTATCAGGATTGAACAGCTGATGTACACAGAATCAATGAAATATCCAAATTAAAGGAATATTTCAGTTCAGCGGCCAGAATGGGGGCACATTTCACAGGCCTTTCGCTATTTTAAAAGCACGTATGACTAAATGGAGATGTATGAGGCCACCAACTTTATTTTGAGAGGCTGTCCTTGGTGATTTGATTTGAGTATTCAACAAAGTTAATTATTCACTAACAAAGGAAGGATAAATGCTGGCAGGTGCTATTTGTTTCGAGGGCAGTGGTGGTTCAGTGATAGAATTCTCCCCTTCTATTTGGGAGACCTGAGTTTGATTCCCAGACAGTACACCTTTGGTACAGCCACCACTTGTCTTTCAGTGGAGCTTGCATGTTGCTTATGATGCTAAACAGGTTTCAGCAGAGCATCCAGATTAAGATAGACTGTGAAGAAAGGCCTGGTGATGGGCTTCTGATAATTAGCCAATGAAAACTCTGATCACAACAGTCAGATCCTGGTGTATGTAGGGTTCTTATGGATCGGGGGCCAATACATGGCAGCTAACAACAAGCTGTTTGTTTCAAGCAGGGACACTTGGCTTGACATCCCTTTTGTGGAGGCTTCTGACATAAAAATAAAGTTGTGGATTGTAATTCCTTGTTAGATTATGAAATGTTACACTACTTCCTATATCTAATGCTGAAATGTACTTTTAAGACTGGCATTAGCCAGACCTTTGGTTGTAGTCTAAAAATACACAGGAAATAGAAACCATGGCATAAAAGCCAAGTCAGTGAGGTGGGGAGGATTCAGTGGAATGAAGTGTGGACTAACATTCCTGTTGCCTTCAAACATTTCAGAAATATGCCGAGCTCCAGTCCAGTAAACCCAAAATACGTGATGGCATGGAACTTGTTCCTCAACCAGATGATAACACATCCATCTGCCAATGTCTCAGGAAGAAGCCTTTAAGAGAAGACCTTTAAGCCAACTCTGATCCACACTCCTATATTATTGGCTACGTCTTTAATGGAAACATTAAGATAGTATCTAAACTGTGAAGAACAATACTAAAGACTTTACCCAGTGGACTAGTTCACTACTTGGTGACTTTATGCAACTTGGATATATCAATATCAGAGCAAGTAGTACCAAATATCTTTGGATATTAATTCTTTTTGAAAAAGAACTACCATCACTGATATCACAGTTTCTCTAAAAAAGAAAATTGGGGGGATCAAAGAAGATAGAGAAGTTTGCCAAAATGCAAATCAGCCCTATGAAGCTAAATTATATCATGTTTGTAAGTTTATTCCTATTCATTGTTTATTATCCCTTTTCCCCTTCCAATTATGTAGAGAAAATATTTGTGTGATTTTTTAAAAAATTTCCTCACTGCACTTTCTCCTCTTACAATCTGCTTTTGCCATTCAGTAATAGCAGCCTCTTTGGGAAGGTCTGGTAAGAATAATCAAAGAAGGTAAGAATGAATGTTATTCAAAGTGGCATGGAGACTGTAAAGAGAATATCCCTTAAAGCACTGCTTATATATATTTAAGGAACTCTGGTGGCACAGTGCCTAAGACATTTGACTGCTAACCAGAAGATTGTCGGTTCAAACCCACCAGCCACTTTGTGGAAGGAGGACAGGGCAATCTACTTCCATAAAGATTTACTTTACAGAAATACAGGATTAAGATTTACTGCCGTGGAAACCCAATGGGTATTTTTAACTAAATCTCACCAAAGCTACAGATAAAAATGAAGGAAAAATCACACTTTAAGATAGTAATTCCCAGTCTGTCTGCCTTGTACACCCATCAAGGGCAACACTATTATTAAAGTAGATGGGTGCATCCTCTGGATACTATTCATCATCTATATAATGAAGAGATAAAAGATAACTGTAGGTACATGGGGAGCTTTAATTTTTTTGTAACTTTTAAAAGGGATCTTTGAAAACCATAGCAATGGGCTGTAGTAAGCCTAGTATCTTAGGATTCACCAATAACCTGACAGCAAAGCCAAGTGCCCATTCCTCTCTCACTCCAGCCCTCCTCTGTTCCAGTGGCTTTTATTGCTAAGATAAAAACTTTGGAAATTTCCTCTCTCCTGTAGGAGAAGGGTCAAGACTTAAGACTCATAGCTCAGAAATTCCTTACTCTTTGTAACAAAACCAATCCATTATTTAGTTCACTAAAGAACATTCTCCAAAAACCAGAGCTATCCACACTCCCGTTTTTAAAATATTTACTCCCAAAATTAAAATACTTAATCTCAGAAATAAGGTAAACATTTTAAAGTGGTGGTATCTATTCTTTTTGAAGACAAATATAAACATAGGATGATTTTTTTTTTAACTAAACAAGAGGTAAAGAAAATTTTAGATTAATGCACTCAAAGCCAAGAATCCAAAGCAAACTTTAAAACCTACCAATTGCTAAAACCTCAAGTACACAAATATAAAATAAAGGGCAAGCACCTGTACTGAGAACTTAATTTGTGTCTTATTGTGTCTTACATATATTGTAATTCATATACACCATAAACTCATATAGTTTGGGGCTTGTCAAAATTGAAATTATGAAAAGAAAGGCTGCCTCCCCCACACCATCCTGCCCTCCAACTCTAGGTCCTGCTGGCTAATGGCACTTTTTAAGAAACACTTAAATTTTAAAAATTTATATCGCCTGCTGCCAAACAGGCCTAATAGAAGCAAGGTGAGACAAAGCTGGCAACTTCTTCAAGGAGAACAGGAAGGATGTGCTTGAGAAATAAAGTGGAGCCCCTCAAGTGATTCTGTAGGGAAAGTGCAGCCTTTATGTAGCTAATCCTTCATTTTACCAACTCAGTCATAGCCCTTAAAAAGTCCCTTTACATCACTTCCTGCTCTGTTGGCCTCAATATGATTTCGTAGAAGTGGGATTACTAAAACCCTGATTCTTTCCATCTCAATTCACACAATACCCATGTATTCCATTAGTTGTTAGTCACTCAATATTTTAATTTTCATTTAAAATACCAGCTTTTTTAAAGGAGGAGGTATAAGTATAAACCAAAAACCAAAACCAAACTCACTACTGTCAAGTTGTTTTTGACTCATAGCAAACCCTCCTTGGGTTTCTGAGGCTGTATCTTTATGTAAGTAGATTGCCCAGTCTTCCTTCCAAGGAGTGGCTGGGGGGTTTGAACTGCCAGCCTTCTGGTTAGCAGTCAGATAGATGACTTAGTCACTACGCCACCAGAGCTACCCTAAGTAGATACAAGTAAATATATTTATCTAAATAAGCTATCAGCATGTTTGTTACAGTATTGTTTTCATTAATAAAATATTGAAAATACCCTAAAAAAATAGTATTAAGGAGTTGGCGATATAGATAGCCATACCACAAGGAATATAATATAACTGTTAAAAAGAATGAAGAACATTCATGTTCACTGCAGTATTATTCACAATAGCAAAAAAAAAAAAAGGAGGCCGGGGACCTAAATACCCATCAATGCATGAATGGATAAACAATCTGTGATACATACATACAATGCTATACTATGCAACAATAAAGAATAACGAAGAATCCACAAAACATCTAACAACATAAGTGAATCTGGAAGACATTATGCTGAATGAAATAAGTCAATCACAAAAGGACAAATATTACATGAGCCGACTATTAGAAAATACCAAGAATAGGGTTACACACAGAAAGAAGCATATTTTGATGGTTATCCAGGATGGGAGAGGGCAGGAGGCAGAACCATTAACTAAATAGTGCACAAATGTTAATTATAATGTGTGTATAGGGGGGTACCCACTGCCATTGAGTCAGTTCTGATTCATAGCGATCCCCACTGGGTTTCCAAGACTATAAATCTTTAAAGAAGTAGATTGCCTCATCTTCTTCCCATGGAGCAGCTGGTGGATTTGAACCACTGACCAACTAGTTAACAGCCAAATGTCTTACCTACTACTGTAGCAGAGTTCCTTAATTATAGTGAAGGGAAAGGCATAACACAATATAGGAGAAATTGACAACATGTGATCAAGGTAAAGTAAGGCAATGAGAGGGACACAAGAATAAAGGTTAACTATGATAAATGCTGTAACATAATAATCTTGCAACAAAAGTAATAATAATTTGTGAGTAGACATATAAGTCAATATATTTGCTAAATAATTGAGAGAGGTCATATGGGAGTATCCCTGTGTACATATATAGGTATAATTGTGAATATTTCTATATACTTATTTGTAAAAGCTACATGCATACTTAGGAGCTCTCGTAGCATAGTGCCTAAGGCACTTGACTGCTAACCAGAAGGCTGGCGGTTCAAATCCACCAGCCACTTCTCGGAAAGAAGGTTGGGCAATCCTACTTCTGTAGTGATACTGCCTCGGTAACCCAAGGAGGGGTTGCTATGAGTCAGGGGCGACTTGACGGCAAATAACAACAACAACAACAACAAACATGCATACTTATATATAGGATAGAGCACATAGGGGGCACAGTGATAGAAACTACTTAAACATCGGGACTGAACTTCTGGACTTGAAGGCTAAGGACCACAATCTCAGAACAGGGATATCTAGGTCAATTGCCAAAAGTTCATAAAGATAATGTTCTACATCCTAGTCTAGTGAGTAGTTCTGGGGTCTTAAAATCTTGCAAACAGCCATCTAAGAAGCAGCTATTTGTCTCTTCCTACCTGGAGCAAAGGAGAATGAAGAAAACTAAAGACTCAAGGGAGCAATTAGTCCAAAGGACTAATGGCCCACATGAACCACAGCCTTCTCTAACCTGAGACCAGAAGAACTAGATGGTGCCTGGCTACCACTACTATCCATGCTGATCAGGACTATGAAAGAAGGTCCCAGTTAAAATGGGTAAAAATGTAGAATAAAATTCAAATTAAAAAAAGAAAAGACTTACTGGTCTGAAAGAGACTGGAGGAACTCCTAAGACTATTGCCCTAAGACAACCTTCTAATCTGAAACTCAGGACATTCTTGGGGGCCATCTCTTAGGCAAATAATATACAGTATGCATTCCTTAAAACAATCAACTATAGGAGACCAAAAGGGCAACATTTACCCAAAACCAAAGATGAGAATGCAGGGAAGGAGAGGGAAACTGGATGAATGGAAAGAGGGAACCCAGGGAGGAAATGGATAGAGTGTTGATACGCTCCAGGGATGCCAGACAATATCACAAAACAATTTGTATATGAATTGTTGATTGGAAAACTAATGTGCTATGTAAACTTTTACTAAAGCATAAAAAAATGCCCCCCCAAAAAAAGAATGGAATAGCCCTAAATGTACCATCATGAAAGATTTCCAGGATAGTGTTCAGTGAAAAAAGAAAGAGAACAACAAGTATATTGTAAAACCAGTTCTATGTAAAAAAAGAAATGTATCCATGTGGTTTTTAACCTGGAAGAATCTTCACCAATATGTGGGGAGGAGGTGGAGATGGAGGAATTTTACTACTTGCTTTATATATTTCTGAGCTCTGGTAGCATAGTGGCTAAGGCACTTGACTGCTAACCAGAAGGCTGGCGGTTCAAATCCACCAGCCACTCCTCGGAAGGAAGGTTGGGCAATCCTACTTCCGTAGCGATACTGCCTCGGAAACCCAAGGAGGGGTCGCTATGAGTCAAGGCCGACTCGACGGCAAATAACAACAACAACATAATATTTTAATTGTTTTTATTATAAGTATGAATTGAATTATATAATAAAGAAAAATGCAAGCTTATGAAAAGACAATAAATGCAGAAAATATATTAGTAGGAGAAACTAGATATTTATATTTTCCATCATATTGTTTCTAAATCTGATATGTCTAGAATTTTGTATTGCAGGACATATTACATATGACATATTACATATATTATATATATTACATATATAAAGTAAAATATCTAACTAAAAGTTTGGGAAAAGAAACATATTTTGTGTTTTAAAAATGACTGACCACCTATTGTCC